AGCCGGCAACTCCTGTGGGACGGCACCCTCAACAGCGGGACACCCCAAAACCCTGGGGGCACCCCAAACACAGCCCCCCATGGCGAGGGAGGGACCCCGGGGGTAACCCACCCCCATATCCGGTGTGAGCAAGGGGGTTTACGGGGCTGAGGACTGGGCAGGTACGGGGCAGGGGGTGGGGTGTATGGGGCAGGGGGCTGGGCAGTTATGGGGCTGGGGATGGGGTGTATGGGGCTGGGGGCTGGGCAGTTATGGGGCAGGGGGCTGGGCAGTTATGGGGCTGGGGGCTGGGCAGTTATGGGGCTGGGCAGTTATGGGGCAGGGGGCTGGGCAGTTATGGGGCTGGGGGCGGGGGTTTATAGGGCTGGGGGTTGGGAAGGGGCAGCCGTGGGTGTCGGGCAGCACCCCGCGGTCCCCGGGATGGCCGGAGCCCCGGCCCGGCCCGGCCCGGCCCCGGCCGGGGACAAGGGACAGCCCCGGCCCCGGCCACTCACCATGGCACGGGTTCCTTCCCGCTTGCAAACTCGGCCCGGGCGCGGCGCAGCCAGCATGGCCCCAAAAAAAGCGCCGCCAAACATAAACATCTGCCCAAAGCTCCGCCCAAAGCTCCGCCCAAAGCCCCGCCCAAAGCCCCGCCCAAAGCCCCGCCCAAAGTCCCGCTCAAAGACACACTCACAGCCCCGCTCACAGCTCCGCTCAAAGCCCCGCTCAAAGCCCCGCTCAAAGCCCCGCTCAAAGCTCCGCTCAAAGACACACTCAAAGCCCCGCTCAAAACTCCGCTCAAAGCTCCGCTCAAAGCCCCGCTCAAAGACACACTCAAAGCTCCGCTCAAAACTTCGCCCCACCAGCTTCGCCTCAGTGATCTGCTGTGCCCCACTCATCATTAACATAATTAACCCCATCATTAACATAATTAACATTACCATAACATATAATAGCAGAATGTAGGTAGTGTTAAGACAGAACCAAACACTGTTAAATCTCTTTCCACAAACCACAAGGATTGGATCTTTTTCTTTCCATAAACATGCGTTATTAATG